CAATCATCCATCCATCCATCCATCCATCCATCCATCCATCCATCCATCCATCCATCCATCTTCCATCAACCATCCCATCCAGCCAGCCAGCCAGTCAACCATCCAATCAATCAACCCAAGCAAAAATGAAGCAATGAGGATTTAGGATTTTGGGTTTTGTGTTGGCTCTTAATAAACCGAGCTGCTGTGTCCGTCGTTCCAGTAGATCGAACAAGATGTCAACACCTGAGCTCGATTCAAAGTCTGCAGCTACCAGAAGAGCTTGGAGGGTTCCTTTACGGCGCCTTCCCTAAACCCTAAACCCTAAACCGTAAACCCTAATCTATAAGCGTTTTGGGCTGGAGGTTTAGGGCCTACCTGGTCTGAGCCCAAGCTGCGACCATCACCGAAAATCAGCTTCCACTTGACGGCGCGCTGAAGGTGACCTTGCGGAAGGCTTCATACTTCGGTGATCTCTACCAAATTTAAGGTTTAGGGTTTAGGGTTTGCGGAAGGCTTCATACTTCGGTGATCTCTACCAAATTCAAGAAACTGGAAAACGCTACCTACATCACCTGTGCATGCTTGACAGTCTGAACAGTCCAGTGATCCTCGAGCAATGTGCAGCCAAGCTGCTTCCTTTCCTTGGAAGTGGAATCGGAATTGGTGAAAGTAAGGTAGAGGCCTTCATAAATAGATGCGGTCCATCGTAAGGACTATAAGGGGTGCGATTATGCCACATTCAGATCCTTATAGCGCGAGGTTCAAGGGCTGCAGTGTTTCCAAGAAGGGAACGAAACACACAAAGACACTGACACCCTAACTCCCATAAGCCCTAACCCCTACATCCGAAACCCCTAAACCCTGAGCCCTAAACCCTAAACCGTAAACCTAAACTCTAGCCCCTGGGTTCTGAACCCCGGCTTCTGCTCCTCGGGCAACATACACAGATTCACAGCGCCAAACTCGTTTTGAGCTTCTGAGCGCTGCTAGTTCGTGGAAATACGAGAGAGGCATAAACAAATCATACCAATAATACCAATACTTCAAACATTGCAAAGACAAATAAGGAATGCGAACGAGAATGGTGAAACGGATAAGGCAAGCCATACTCACGGTACTGACACTGCTGGCACGACTAGCAGACGAGCAATAGTACTAACGGTGCCAACAATATTAATAACTCTTTTATTGCTAAGAACACGACTAGTACTGATATCAGCAAGAATAATAACATTGATGACGAATACATGTTTATCTAGTATAACATGATGAAATACTATACTTTTCAAGTCTCTACTGTGCTAAACTATACTAAACTATACTAGTTATACTAAACTGGACTAAAGTCTGCAAATCTAAGATTAAGTAAACAAGACTATACTGTAGGATACTGTACTATAGAGTTGCTGCGCTGTAACACAATGTAGTATAACATGACAAAACATAGCTTACCATGGCATGACAGAACAAAACATAGCATAACACAGCATAACATAGCATAAGGTACCATACTATACTACACTGTACTGAACTGTATTATACTTTACTATACTTTGCTATACTTTGCCATATCATATAATATCATATAGTATCATATAACATCATCTAATATGTGTTGATATCTTATAATATCACCTAATAGCATCTAACATCATGTAATATCATATAAAATCGAAACGTCTCATGTAACATCATATATGATGTAAAATCACATGGCACCATCTAATATCAGAATATCATATCATCTAATTTCATAACATTCCATATAACTTCGTATAACAACAGGTAATATCACGTGTTATCATGGACAATCAATCATGTAAATCATTCAACATCACATAAAATATAGAAAAATATAAAAACACAATTGTACAACATATTTTAATGTAGTGTAGTGTAATGTAATGTAATATAATATAATATAATATAATATAATATAAAATATAATATAATATACTATAATATAATATAATATCATATAATACAATACAATACAATATAAT